GATGGTGGAACATCTTTCTACATCTGATGGTGGAACATCTTTCTACATCTGATGGCGGAACATCTTTCTACAGCTGATGGTGGAACATCTTTCTACGTCTGATGGTGGAACGTCTTTCTACTGTGGGTGGAACATCTTTCTACTGATGATGGAACATCTTTCTACATCTGATGGTGGAACATCTTCCTACAGCTGGCATCAAACAGTTAACCATCTATAGTGTGTGGAGCCGTCATTGTTCTTCCCTTGTTGGTAACATCTGGGGGCATTTAGGAGGACACTCTACATGTTGATTCCATTTTTTATTTTATTTATTTATTTTTTAACATTTTCATGTGAAATAGTTGTATATATATATATATATATATGTATTTATTTTTTTCCAGATTTCCTGTGGGTCGTAATGCCAGAAGAGTTCTCTGTCCTCCTTCGTCAGAGCTGCAGGACTTGATGCTGCAGAGCAACATGAAGCTCAGTGGAGATGGAAGCCCAGAACCTGCTCCAGCAGAGGGTTAACTGCTGTAGCAGGGAGGTGGATCTTGCGGTCTGGTTCTGGCTGGCGGCCGTCCACGGCTCCACGCAGCATCCAGGGTGGTGCTGAGCGTCCCGAGCTGAATGCTGGAACTGCTTCTGCTTTTATTCTCTCCTCCTTCTTCTGCTCTTTTTCCTCTGGTCCGTCCAACATCTCCCTGCGAGGCTGCCAAGCTTCTCCTCCCTGCTCTGACGGAGCATCGGATTCCTGTGCGGTGAGATATCAGAGAGGCGATGCTGCTCGCCGCTCCGAGTTCAGCTTCTACTCGTCTTTGTTTTCCAGCCGGAGAGGAAGAGCGAGCAGAGGGAGCAGGGCTATGTGAGGAATCCTAGCCCAGAATGACAACGTGGGAGTGAGCAGCGAGGAGGAGGAGGAGGACACAGCTGGAGGATGACATCAGCACATCTGTCAGCAGACTGTTTACAGCGAGAGGCTGCTGCTGACGAGCAGCTCAGTGGAGGAGGAGCAGTCAGCACACCTATGATCACCTGGAGGCACAGGGGGGGGGGCCGCAGGTACAGCCTGGACTACAGTACTACAGTACAGGTACGCCCTGGACTACAGTACTACAGTATTACAGTACTACAGTACTACAGTACTACAGTACAGGTACACACTGTACTACAGAACTACAGTACTGCAGTACAGGTACACACTGGACTACAGTACTACAGTACAGGTACACACTGTACTACAGTACTACAGTACAGGTACACACTGTACTGCAGTACTACAGTACAGGTAGACACTGTACTCAGTGTACTACAGTACCAGTACTCACTCTACACAACCCTGGAAACAGGCCGAGTTGTGCGTCGAACACAAACAGGATTAAAGTGAAGCACGAAAAGCACGAGTCCAGATTTTCATGTGAACTCTGTGAACTCCAGCAGCAGGTTCTGGGCGTTTTTAGCTCCTGGTTCCTTCACTGAGGTTCATGTTGCTCTGCAGCATCAAGTCCTGCAGCTCTGAGGAAGGAGGACAGAGAACTCTCCGGTGCATCACGACCCACAGAAAATCTGGAGAAAAAAAACTTTATTTCATAAGAAAATGTAAAAAAATAATAATAATAATAGAATCAACATGTAGAGCGTCCTCCTAAATGCCCCCAGATGTTACCAACAAGAGAAGAACGATGACGGCTCCACACACTATAGATGGTTAACTGTTTCATGCCAGCTGTATGAAGATGTTCCACCATCAGTAGAAAGATGTTCCACCATCAGTAGAAAGATGTTCCACCATCAGCAGGATGGATCTTCAACTTCTTTTAATTTTCCAAACAAAACAACGTGTCACAGCTGCTGGCTCAAGAAGTGCTAGAAAGTTGAAAACCCTCATTTTTTTCCGTCTGTGAAGACTCTCAGTTCTCCAGGTCCTGGTTGTTCTCGTAGATTAGTCGTAACAACTGGACCTGCTTGAGTTCCTTGAAGATGTTCCACCTCTCATCCAAGAGGCTTCATCAGCTCTGACTGACTGGTTGGTCAGTCTCCCAACTAGTTTATACTTCCTGCTTCTCCAGCTCCTGGTTCTGATAAAAGCTGTACTTTGGGGGACTGTTTAATAAATCATGTCTTGCCGACCTGTGGGGGTTCAGAGGCTGGTTCTCTGCTGAGCTTATGGTCACATGGCAGCTCTGTGCAGCTAAAAGCTAAACCTGCTCACCCTCAGTGAACGGCTCCCAGTTGTAGAGGCGGCCCATGAACTCCTGGCTGTTGAAGGCGGCGCACTGCTCTGCTCTGGAGTCCAGCGAGCCTCCTGCACACACCTGCAGACAACGACAGGAGAGAGTCAGGACAGCTCAGTGGTACCTCACATGAAACCGGGCCGGTCCTCTGCCGGTCCCTGGAGGGGTGAGGGCGGGGTGAGGAAGGGGAGGGAGAGAGCTAATAAAGAATTAGCGTGAGGCACAAACACACAGCTACACACCAGCAGCAGCAGCAGCAGCAGCAGCAGCAGCACAACATATGGAGTTAATAGACGTGCTGGAAGCAGCTGCTCATAAATCCGCCGCCGCATCCAGAGCGTGACCAGAGCGCTGTGTGAGCACGTGGACGACAGCGTGCACGTGTCCAACTTGTGCTTCTCACTGAAGCAGTTCTAACGTATCTGCAGAGAGGCCGACAGCACCAGGAGGATCGGGTCTGCAGGTCCGGACTGGACTCACTGAGCTCGGACAGAAACACAAGACAGCAAATGAACACAAAGCCGAGCATCAGAGGGACGGTCAGTCCTATTTCTGTCCTTTAATCATCTCCTGAGCTCTGGTGTGTCTCCAGTCCTGCACCAACCATCTGAAGCTGCACGCTCCGCCACCAGAACTGGACCTACAGAACCTCCTTCAGCCTTCTTGATGCTGATTGGCTCGACTTGGAGGAAACGTGATGGAAAAAGAAAAACATCTAAAATTACAACATTTTCCCAGAAAAACTGTGACTTTCTGTTTCACTTCTGCAGCTGACGGTTCCGGTTCGGACCAGAACCTGGTTCCTGCTCAAGTTTAATTTGTTCCCTCCTAAAATCAGACGTGTAGATTAAAGCGCTTTGATTTTGAATAAATCACAGATTTAAGCTGAGTTTTCTGATCAGACACCAGATCTGGACGTTCTGTCTCA